GAGAGGGGAAAATTATAGCTTAACATAATTACATACATTTCTTTTCTCTTTATTTTTCTGGCAGGTTTTACTGCTGGAACAATCCAACAGAGCCAAGACATCAGAGACGTCATCTGCTGCTTTTTCTGCTCCTGCAATGGTCATGAAATCTACAACCTTTAGAGGTCAATGTCATCCAAACAGCTGAGTAGAATGTTGTATATCCGCTTGCAGACCACGCACTGTACATACACTGAGAAAGTGCGAGTCCACTGCACTGGATCATGTACATGTACGTGATCTAGTATTTCTGGGCAGGGAACACGATTGTGCATGCCCACTGCCCCAGCTATTCTGTCATTCACTACAGCACAAGATGGTCAGTGGGTCCCGGCCAATGGTAAACAACACAGGGCTCTCTACCAAGCATGGAGTAAAAACTGGCACATTGATTAGTAAAAATGGCACATACTACACACAGTAAACATTGTTAGGCACACAGTTAACCCTTTGATTGCCGCTAAATGGTAACCCCTCCCCAGCCAGAGTCAATAGTACAGTGACAGTGTATATTATTAGCACTGTTCACTGTATTAGTCTCAGTGGCAGTTAGTCAGTTCCCACAAACTATCAGTTAGTGTCAGATTTCCCGCCGCACTATCACTATTCACACTATAAGTCACTGATCACCGCCATTAATAGTATAAAAAATAAATAAATACAAATTTCCGGTATATATACACCATCTTTTGTAGATGCTATAACTTTCCAGCAAACCTTTTCATATACACTCATTGGGATTTTTTTTATTACCAAAGACATGTAGCAGAATACATTTATGAAGAAATTTATTTTTTATTTATTTTTATTGGATATGTTTTATAGCAGAAAGTAAAAAAAAACATTTTTTTCAAAATTTTAATTTTTTTTCCGTTTATATATTAAAAAAATAAAATGTGAAGAAAATAATATACATTTCATTTGTGTACAGTATTGCATGACCATGCAATTGCTAGTTAAATTAGCACAGTGCCAAAAAGCAAAACATATCCTGCTCATGAAGGGAATGTGACAGTTTTTGTCTCCCTGCTCTACAAAAAAAAGCACATCCCCACTGCCAGTAGAGAGATCTGTGTTGTTTACCAACACAGATCTCTCTCCTGTCACTAGCTCCCATGAATCACTAGCCAGGAACCGCTGGTCAGCATGTCAAAGAGACAACGACAGCACGCCGTACACGGAAAAGCATAATCAAGTATGTAGGGCCCCTCTAGTTAGCCAAGGGAAGCCAGTGGCTAATTCCTAGTTAAAAAGGCTGTAGCAGCCTTGGAAAGTAGTTAGCAGGTTAAATCTGGGTCAGGGCTGAGAGGCTCTGCAGATCAGCTCACTGATACATCCCCCTGATCTGGAGACTTGGAGAAGTCTCTAGAACTCAGTGGGTGTGGGTGACAAGAAGCTGGTCTGCACTCTTTAGAAATTCTGGCCAATCTCCAGGCAGGAGGCTTGGCATGGGGTCAGTACTGCCCTTAAGAGTGACTGAGCTTGCTCAGCAGCAGGAGAATTTGGGTTGGAAGATGGAGTATGAGGAAGAGCTGTAGGAGTCTGGGAAGGGGCCCAGTGGGAAGGGGCCTACCTACAGGCAGGAAGCTTGAAAGAAGGATCATTCAGACCTCACCAGCCCCTAGAGTGAAGACCGCCTGTGAAGCAGTGAAGGAGCCAGCCCAGCAAATGGCCTGAAGGCAGCTACCAAACCACCAAACTCACAAGAAGGAAAGGACTGAATGAGTAATCCTGCACCCCCTGGGTCAGACAAGGGGAGAGGGCATTCTTGTGGCAAACCTGTCCTGTCTAGCTCTACACCCAGGACTGTTACGTTTAAATGGCAGCTTTGGATTCCCTTGCCCTGGGATTTACCCAGTAAAGCTGGATGAGGAGAGGATTCATCTGGCTTCTGGTGTGGTACATCAAGAGAGGTTGGAGAGCTCTCCAGGAAAAAATCCATTTTTACTGTAAAGAGACACATAGTTGCTAAGGAGTTGTCTTCAGTAGCAGTTCCCTTGGGCATCCCATACACTCCTTAACTCCATCCAAGTTAAATACCCCTAATAAAACGTAAAAATCAAGCTCAAGGACTGTTTACTGTCTCCAGAATTCAAGTCGGTGAAAAAATGCGTGTTGGCTAGCTGTGCAGGATTATAGGGGGACCCAAAACATCAGTGACACCTAAAGAGGTAGTGCTACAAGTAATTATACTTGATTTTGCACAGCTGGCCCACACTGTAGCAGTAAAGCTAATGTGCGGTTGGAAGTCAGTTAACAAAATATTTCCCATAAGATCATGGGTGAATGTAACATAACATATGCACATGATTGACCCGTGTAGCCACCCAAAAGCCTGAGACTGCTGCTGGGCACCTCCATCTTGGATGTGACACTGTATAGCATGTGTACAACACAAGACCTGCAGGCCAAATCTGGCCTGCCAGGCCATTTCATGTGACCCCCACATCTCTCCTTCAACTATGGAACCCCCTCGTCTCCGCCCCCACCCTTTTTCAGCAGTTGGCAGCAGAGAGGAGGAAAGAACTCCTTCGTCAGATCATGCACTTCTCTGTGCAGCCGTGGAGACTCTCATCTCTGTCCCCATCTCAACAGTTGGCAGCAAAGAGAAGCTTTGCCCTCCTCCTAGAAATCCTGCACCTCTCTGTGTAGCCTCAGTACCCCCTCATCTTCACCTTCCCTGGTCTCAGCATTCAGCAGACTCTGGCAGTAAACTCTAACCCTCCTCTTGTTTTCCTCCAGACCCTGCACCTTCCGCTTCCCAGCTCTGCCCCCAGCTTCCTCCCAGCAGCAGCACAAGGTAAGGAGGGTGCACTGTGATGGAAGGAAGGAGATGGCTTTCAATGAAATTAAGTTTGACACACCTGCTGTATAGTATTTGCCTTTACTCCTCCCCTGGCAGCTACATAAAAAGTTTTGTAGGGAAGCAATGTGAGGGGTTGATAAGCTGGGCCAGCACAGGGAGTAATTAGACATAGAAAATTAAGGGGCTATGACGTGGCAGAAAGGACATGGCTGTGCTAGGGAAATGATTCCTTCTGGAGTAATCAAATTTTTGCAAGTAAATAAAAAAATATGCAAAGGAAAAGCACTTCATTTAAGTATTTAAAATATCTGTTGTTTCTTCCTTTAACCTCCCTGGTGGTATTCCTGAGTGTAGCTCGGGGTGAAGTTTCAGTACCAAAAGCGGTAACCCCGAGCTACACTCGGGCTTACCATGCGGCGTTGCTCAAGGATTCCCTGCAGCGCTTACCTTGTCCTTTGCTCTCGCGATGTCCCTCCTGCAGCGTCCCCGGCGATCTCCTCCGGCCGATGCCGGCATCCGGCTTCCGTGTTCCGGTCCCTGTTACGTTGGGACGTTTGGGGGGGAACCAGTGGCAAATTGAAAAATTTTTAAACACTGTAATTTTTTCGTAAACGAATACTACATAGTAACACATTGCTGTTTCAAAGCATTTCACATACATTTTGTCCCGAGTGCTTTGTCCTGCGCCCTGCCTGCATTTTGACTGTTCTTTCTGCCTGAAAACTTAGAAAAGTCCATGGTGTCCAAAAAGCGCCCTTTTAGGTCAAAAGCGGTTTTAGACGGCTAGAGAACAGCGATAGTAAATCAGAACCATTTGCAGAATTGAGTGATAATTATTCGTGGGGAAATTCGTCATCAGACATTAAAAATGATTTTGCGACTTTGCTCAGTGATGTGCGAACTTGGCGCTATATTTAAAATTTCAGTGTTTTTGGTTTGATTACATTATTGAATTAAATTTATTATTATATTATTATTTTTTATGATTATTTATTAAATTATAATTTATGATTTCGTGTTTCAAGTTTTATCCTACCCGGGATGTTTACTAGACTCTTGTTCGGACAGATTTCAGTGAGTTATTCCTAAAATTACAGGCCTACAATAAAAAAAACTACATATTTCCATGCAAAATAATAATACCGCTTTCAGCACCAAAAATCTGAAATAATCATAACGCCAGGGAGGTTAACTTGCATTTTTTTTAAGTTGTTGACGGGGTCTCCTTAAAATACATGGCAAGATTACAAGATAGATATATGGCTAACATGGTACAACGTGGCTACAGCTGAGATGAGTAAATAAAGAGTAAATGAAGGACTGAAATGCCATACATAACATACTCCTTACTATTAAAATCTTAAAGCTTTGCTATCCTCTTGTAAATTTCCCTCCTCCTCCCACAAAAAAACCACTCCCTCAAGTAACCTTCCCGCCAATGTAACCATTCGGTGCTCACCTCCGCACTCCTCTTTGACTGCACCCCACACCTAGCTCCCCCTTCCTACAGCTTATCTCTACTCCCCTTTTACATTCTACTTCTGCACCTCCTGCCTACATTTCTCCAGAATCCACAGCTTTGTTCTCTGCACCCACCTCCGTTCACAGATCTCATCTCTGCACCCTAACCCCCCCCCCCCCCCCCCACACACACACACACACACACACACACACACATGCAGACACACACAGACACCTTATGCACAGCTCTCACCTCTGCACCCAACTCCATTCACAGACCTCACCTCTGCACCCCCACACACACACACACACACACACACAGACACCTTATGCACAGCTCTCACCTCTGCACCCACCTCCATTCACAGATCTCACCTCTTCACCCCCCCCCACACACACACACACACACACACACACACACACACACACACACACACACACACACACACACAGACACCTTATGCACAGCTCTCACCTCTGCACCCACCTCCATTCAGAGATCTCACCTCTGCCCCCCCTCCCCCCACTCACACACACCTTATCTACAGCTCACACCACTGCACATCTCCCTCAGCTCTATTCACAGATTCCACCCTTGTTTGATATGTGACCAGGGGCGGACTGACCATTCGAGCCCTCGTGCACTGCCCAAGGGCCCGGGTCAGTAGGGGGCCCCATGAAGTGCCCCTGGTACCTTTTATAGGCTTTTTTGGGTATGCTTTGAGTGTGGGCAAGGACACAGGGGCCCCATGATCCCCTATTGCCAGAGAGCCCCATGAGTTGTCAGTCCGCCCCTGTATGTGACTAAAAACCTTAAAACATATGAGGTGTGCTGAAGGGAAGAAGAAACCAATCATCCATTTCAACAGAGATCACATGCCCATTTGCCTAGGGTTTTTGTTATGTGATAAACACTGTTAAGAGCCCACAGCAGCATTTTCTCCCAGTAACATTATGTTTTAGCCCTTCTATTAAACGTTACCTACCCTAGTTAAACTGCTAATAAAGTTTTGGGTAACGTTTGAGTGTAGGTCAGTTTTAAATGTGGATTTTTACTCAAAATATTTTGGAAAATGAATAAAACTAATTGATGCCGAGTTAATAAAGCAAGTTCTTATTCTGCCCCCATCCCCAAAATGTGTTCCTGAAACCATAAAAATATCTTTACTACGTCAGCTGAAAAAGGAAAGTGCCAAGGCAAAGAAAATTCCTGAAGAAAGTCTAATATTGTATATCATTCAAGTGCAAATGTTAACTAGTAAGCAGAAACTGAACTTGATGGCAGATTGATAGGTTTTGGCTCATCCGGGCTGACCATATGATTATTTTCATGTCTGCTATGAAGCCGCTGCTCAGAAATGGTTGATTTTGCTTAAAGAGAATTTTTTCTTTTAATAGTCAACATGTATTCAAATGATTTAGAGGAAGTCTGGACTTTTTTGTTATATAAGCTCCCCATATTGGATGCTTGTAAAATAAAGATTTTATGCAAATAATGAAAATATGATAGGAAGAAAGATGAAGATCAGGTTATAAACTTGCTCATGTTTCAAAAATATTAAAATAAATTACCTGTTACTGTTTCCCTATCAACTAAGTGTAATGGAACTTTGTGTCCTCAACACAGCAATACAAGAAATTGTGCTACACATATGCTTTGTCTGCTAAATGTGCACCTGTGGTCAGGCTGTGGACATTAAAATTTAGCGCAGACTCCTATTGAGCCCCACTGATTTGCCCCAGGTCCTCTTCCTGATTGGGTGTACAGGTATCCAGACACACTATCATTCAGACAGTCTCACTACTCAATGACCAGGCAGAGGATGTCTTTTTATGCTTTATTGTTCATTGAACATGGTTGGGGTGCAGGGGGAGCTTTAGGATAAGGGGCGGACTGACCATTCAGGCACTCGAGCTCTGCCTGAGGGCCCGGGGTCAGTAGGGGGATTCATGAGATGACCCTGGTACCTTTCATAGGCTTTTTTGGGTGTGGTTTGAGTGTGGGCGAGGACACAGGGGCCCCATGATCCCCTATTGCCCGGGGGCCCCATGAGTTGTTAGGGCGCCCCTATTTAAGATACTCCGAATTTAGTGCACAAGGTAACCAGAGGACACTCTCTGGCCTGTCTATACCCCTTAGCAGACACTAGGAACACTGCAATGCTGAGACTCCAAGTAAGAGCAAATCCCAGTTCAGGATCATTGAAGCAGTCACTCAAGGGGTTAAAGCAGCAGACAGTAACTAGGATTCTACATCCAGGCCTATACTCACAATGTTCCGGATAGTTGGATACCTCTGTCCAATATCATCCAGAAACTTCTCCTGTCAATCTCAAGGTCAGATCTTCAGTGAACCCCTTGATTTGGCTCCAAATATTTCCAGATAACAGGCCCCCAGCTCCGATAGAGCTGGAACCTCGATGAACTCCTGCAAACTTCAGCTAGACTGACCAGAAGGGCAGCAGCCCTTTAGGCTAGAATCTTCTCCTCCTGGACAAGAACCATACTGCTCCAGGCCTCAAACTATTTACGCCCTCCTCAGCCACCTACTGGGCATTTTGCCCCAGCGATTGGTTGAGCCCACATAAATATTCAGGCCAAGGGTCTGCCTCTTCCACCCCACTACATTCTAGAATCAACTAAAATGCAGAGAGAGATAGTTGAGCCTGCAGTCAGTGAGACCCAGAACAGCCAAAAATAATCACACTCCAATATTTACAGAGGAGCCAATAACTAGATTTACCTGAGCCTCTCTCTTGCAACCAATTCTTGGAGGGTGCTATATAAGTAGTCACATTTATGACAAACAGTAAATTAATTTCAAAACAAGCCATTACTGACCTATTTAGCTGCACTTTGGAGTAAGTCCTCCTCAAATTTCAAAGCAGAAGAACTGAAGTTTTTCAAGTTATTCAATCAGTATCCCAGTTTTCCCTGCTCCCCTATCCTATTAGTAACCCAGCAGCTCAGCTCCCCTTGGCCCCCCCTCCCAGCAGTGACTCACAGCTTGGCCCTGCTCCCCACTCCTATTTAATCTGGCCTGCCTCGCCGCTGGCTATCCCCACTTCAGTCGATCCTGAATACGGCTGCCAGACTCATTCACCTTTCCAACCGCTCCGTTTCTGCCACCCTCCTCTGCCAATCCCTCCACTGGCTTCCGATTGCGCAACGGATCAAATTCAAAATCCTAACACTGATGTACAAAGCTGTCTACCATACTGCCCCAAACTACATCACTGACCTAATATCCAAGTACCGCCCAGCACGCACACTCCGCTCCTCACAAGACCTCCTTCTCTCTAGTTCCCTGGTCTCCTCCTCCCATGCCCGCCTCCAGGACTTCTCCAGGGTGTCACCCATCCTCTGGAACTCCCTGCCCCAACCCATCAGATTATCACCTACTCTCCTCTCCTTTAGGTGCACCCTGAAAACCCATCTCTTCAGGGAAGCCTACCCCACCCCCTGCTAACTTGCTGACCTCCTCCACTCTTCCTACCACTCCATACCCCACAGCTATCTCCTCCTGTGCCACCATCCCCTCCCTCCTAGATTGTAAGCTCGAAAGAGCAGGGCCCTCAATCCCCTCATGTTTTGCATTGTATTGGTATTGTTCTGTCACATGTTCTGTCCCCCTTTTGTAATGTACAGAGCTGAGTGAACTATTGGCGCTTTATTAATACTGTATAATAATAATAATTGTATTTTTATATGTATTCTTTATGTAATTACAGGCAGGAGAACATGCACAAAGTTACAATTTTAATGGTCCATTGGCATCAGGGTACACATAGTTAGATACATATAGGTCTTATACCAGGGGCGGACTGACCATTTGGAAACTCGGGCACTGCCCGAGGGCCCGGGGTCAGTAGGGGGTCCCATGAGATGCCCCTGGTACCTTTTTCATAGGCTTTTTTGAGTTTGGGCAAGGACACAGGAGCCCCATGATCCCCTATTGCCTGGGGTCCCCATGAGTTGTCAGTCCGCCCCTGTCTTATACAGTTACATATGACATCATAAGATGACAGGTACGTGGAGGAATCCACACTGGTACATGGAACAATCCATCCACATATCACATGACCGGAGAGGGGAAGACATAGAAGGTGCCTTCATTCCCAGTGGTTGCCACTCTGAGACTGAGGTGTGAACTGCGAGTACACATGGGTGAAGGCACAGTTTGCCATCTTTGCCCTGGGCACTGGATAACCTTGTTCTGGCACTGATCCACAGCCTGCATTTCATCATCCATTCTCTACATAGATGTGTGTTTCTTTGAGGGTCTGATGGCATGGCTTATGTGCTTTAAACACAGTCTGGAGGTAACAAAACATCATTTTGCTAGGTAGCTAGGTCTACTGCAGTTACATTCATCTGATTGCTACAAGTGGTTTTTAACTGTGCTTTTTTGCATGTTTGTGCTTTCTTGTGCACACATAAATATGCCTTTTGCTTAGTGTATTTGGTTTGTCATTACCAATAAATGGCACCACAAGGGTGACGTGTTTCTTGACTGTTTCCTCTGCACGTACAAAATGTTGGGATCTTATGTGCATTGATGCGCAACACCAGTGTGCACACGGGCTAACATTTAGGTCTATTTCATGAAAAGCATGCTTTTGGACTGTGTTTTTTTTCAGCTTTTGCATGAGGAAAAAGAAGCCAACTTCTAAATGGTAAATAGCAGTTATTTTTAAAAAATATAAAAAAATAAAACAAGTAAATTCAATTTATGCGTCAAGTTTGTTCAGATGTTTCTGCATCAGTACATGTGGCATGAAAACCTTTCCTCTGTTACGGAAACATCGTAAAAATGTTTTCTTTTCTCTCTCTCTCTTTCTCTCAAATCTCATATGTTTGCAATTTAAAACTATGAAATTATACCTTCTCACTCGAGTTCCCACAATGAAAGGGGCATGGCCATTGTAGGAGCAAAAAAAAAAAAAAAAAGAGAGAGAGAGATAATTGTACTGGAATTAAAGGACGCCAAACCCATCCTTGACAGGAAACCCGCAGAAGATGTGGTGTCCAATTGGGCAGCAGTGACCAAGCCAAACCGCAGAGACTCGATGCTTTAATCAGTCCCATTGCTGTGAAGATCTGGGGAAGCGCAGTCAGCAGGAGCCTCTGCCAAGGCCTCAGCCTCAAGTCCAATCACCGAAGCCTAAACTCAGCTGAAAATTGTACAGTGCACATGAGAGGTGGTAACATGTCTCCCTCTGTGGTAACATGCGGATATTATTATGCAGTCAGCGAGCGATAACAATAAACCCCTCTGTGGACCATTACACGTCTTTCTGTTTACAGGAATGCTATTGAGTTCAGGCTGTAGTTGTACACTGTATTTATCCACATTTAGCTACTCGATCTCGCAGACACATGTCTCCATGCACAGCATTCTGGGATTGTTTCTTGTATAGCACAGCATCGTGTTTAAAAACGATTGAAGCTTTATTATTTTTTTTTTTTTACATTTTGAATGCCAGTTCTGGCAATAAGGAAAATCAAACAGTGAGCTGTAACAGTGTATATAAACCCAGCATTTGCAGTATGTTTGGCATCTTGCCTCAGTATATACATTTGTTTTAACAACCTTATGTCTGGCGGCTGTAACTAGATGGACAAATGGTGCCCTTACTAAGACATGTGGGTATACCTGTTAGTCTTTTCTGATCCTGCTGTCATTAGACAGGGGAGAAAATCAGCTAAAGGTACAGAGCCAAATGGAGTGGCTCTGCACTATGTGATCATTGTGGTGGCCAATCACAGCTATCACCAAAGTAAACAGTGTAGTGCTGTTTACATTGGTGACCCCTACCCTTCCTCTCACACAGGAGAGGAAGGAGGAAGATTTAATGAACTAAACTATTCATTAAATCTGCAATCTAAAGTCGGGGGGATCTAACCTTTTCGCTGGCAAGTTTTTGTGTTTTTTGTGCAAATGTTTGGTGCCTGAAGACTACCTAAATCCCCCAAAACATTATTGATGAGGGACGTTCAAGTCAAACCAGGACTTTTGAGTTCATATAACAAAAGAACAAATTTCAAGGTGTGGAAACTGCATTTATTTTTTTTACATACTCCCCTGCTACATTTATACACTTATCCCAGCATTTAACTAATGCTTGGAAAGTTTTGGCATAGAAAGATTTGTCAGTACGCCTGAACCATCCTAGGACAGCCTTCTTCACTTCGTCATCATTGTGTTTACCGTTCCCACAGATAGATTTGTCAGTTTGAATGAACCATCCTAGGACCACCAGCCTGCTTCAATTCGTCATCAATGTGTTCACCGTTCCCACAGAAAGATTTGTCCCTTGTGCAATTTTTACAACAGGTTATGCGTTGACTATCTAGGATCAGGCATGACTGTTGGACTTGCAGAATACCGAGGCTAATACTTACCCCTAATCCATAAAACCACCACCGCCCTTCAAAAACCTTCCCCACCCAAATAAACACGCGACTCTCTTTCTGGTGTAAAAACCAGCCATAGCAGCCATTTATTTACCATAACTCAAACATAACATTTCTTACAGTAAACTTCATTGATACCTGACAGTATGATCCCAAACCGGGTCCAAGGTCTTCGAAGGCACCATTACTCCCATCACAAACTCGGCTGTATCTGACACCCAATGAAAGGCCCCCAGACGCTACTACACCACCTCAGGGACAATACTACAGTTACTTAGTCCCAGATACAGCCAATGAACTCCCACATTACCAACATGACCTTATAATTGGGAAGGGACACCCATACCTACGATGGGCCCAACCCATAATTCACCAACTTGTCACTCCAACACCGCCTTCAAAGATCCATCGCCCCCTGCCGGCTGCCATGACAAAACAAACAAACAAACACTTCGGGACACAAACAGCTGTCCTGAACAATGAACAAACACAATGAACCCACAAAAAACAAACACCACGAACAACCAAACCAAACAGCAAAACCAACACCAGGACAAACACAAGGACAAATCATAACCAACACATCAAACAGAATACAAAAAAAAACAACTCCAGGGAGGGAGGGCAGGAGAAACCACCTCCGTGATGGCACAAGCTCCGACTGACTCCGACAAGACCCAACCCCCCTTTTTAAATCCTGCAAGACCACCCCTCAATGATGCATACTCCAATCAAGTAAGTAACCATCCCCCCCCCTTTCCTCTTGCTTAGACTCCCACCTAAATTACACTCTCCGCCTCGTCTGCACGCCCCAGTCGTGCTGGCCCTCCCTTTTAGCTTTGCTCAGTCCAGGCCTTGACTTGACTGTTGGACTTGCAGAATACCGAGGCTAATACTTACCCCTAATCCATAAAACCACCACCACCCTTCAAAAACCTTCCCCACCCAAATAAACACGCAACTCTTTCTGGTGTAAAAAAACTGGCCATAGCAGCCATTTATTTACCATAACTCAAACATAACATTTCTTACAGTAAACTTCATTGATACCTGACAGTATGATCCCAAACCGGGTCCAAGGTCTTCGAAGGCACCATTACTCCCATCACAAACTCGGCTGTATCTGACACCCAATGAAAGGCCCCCAGCCGCTACTACACCGCCTCGGGGACAATACTACAGTTACTTAGTCCCAGATACAGCCAATGAACTCCCACATTACCAACCTGACCTTATAATTGGGAAGGGACACCCATACCTACAATGGGCCCAACCCATAATTCACCAACTTGTCACTCCAACACCGCCTTCAAAGACCCATCGACCCCTGCCACAGCACACGAGTGTGAACCCTTACACTTGTGTAGCCCGCCAAACACGTAACCCTCGCTGGATACCATCCTGCAGGCCCAAGGACCACAGGTCAATGCCAACCGCATTGAGATGCACCCCATCCGCACGCAAATACCGTCAGGATTCTTCCTCCAGCTCCCTATGACGGACTGCTAGGCCACCATTCCGCACAAACAAACGCACCACCTCCCTATTCACCTTGACCCGGGCCCAGTTAATTTTGTCGACTGAACGGGCCATGCGCCAAGAAGCACGGGCCACCATGTCAGACCATACCAGCAAAGTGTCCGGGAAAAAAGACCGAAGATGCAAAAAATCAAATTTTATATCTCGGATCACCTCCCGCATAGAGCGCAACCCGAGATCATTACCCCCCACATGTAACACCAAAACGTCTGGAGGCTGGTCTAAACGGGAATAATGATGAATCTCAGGGACCACCCTGGACCACAACATTCCCGGCACACCAAGCCAACGAAGCCTCGCCTCCCCCCTCTCAAACCCCAATTGTCGACCCTCCGGTCGAACATCTGCCCTCTTAGCCCCCCAAAAGACGTACGAATGGCCCATGATCCACACCAAGCAGACATCGGAACCTGCAAATAAAACACACAGAAAGGAGGGAGGAGGTAGAACCGTTCAACAAGGCCCCCACAACACACAAACAAAAACACAAGAATGACAGTGACAAATACCACTGAGACAAACACAACACCACCAAGAGAGCATTCCCACCCCTCACAAGAGCTGAGGGCGCACATATAACCTAAACCTAGCCGAATCCCAACGCCCAATACGACGAACCACTTGATCACCTAAACCCCACCGGGCGGCCTCCGTAGCTGCCCCAATGCGAAACGAATGGGACGAGTAATGCTCCACACCCAACCCGGCAGACTGCAAAAACCGTTTAAACACCACCCCAAATTGAAAACGAGATAGAGCCATCCCATTCACATGCATAAAGAAAACCCCAGGAAGATCAGGTCTCAACTCGAGAAATTCCCCAACCGCCCGTACCGGACAAATCCAGGACTTTGGAATCTCAGACAACTCAACCCAGGTACCCTGACCCAAAAATACGCAACCCACCACCCCGCAAGACCACCTCATCCACAGCCAAACCTCCCTCCCCCCACTTGTTCCGACTATCCAAGTCCCCAACCCTAAAGGCCCCAAAAAATGCCAGCACAAAAGCTGCTCTGAACAAAATCGCCTCATACAACGAGGAACAAATACCATCCAACTGGCCAACCACCGCATGAAGAACCTCAAAAGAAACCGGCCGCCTAGAATCAGGAATGGAACGGCCTTTTTTGTACCCCCGCATAGCCTGCCGAACAAGGAAATCCTTTGTCACATCACAACGCCCTGCCAATTTTAAACGGAAAGCCAACCCCGCCAGCTTCCGAGACATCAAAGACGCTGAAACACCCATTTCAAAATTCCTACCTATGAAATAAAGCAGGAGGCACAGGGCATCATCCACCCCGAACCCTACCTCACTCACCAGCTCCAGCCATTCCTGCCACACCTTCTCATAGAAAACCCATGTGGACGCATAAACTGATGTCTGAATCAAGGCCGCAGAAGAGGCAAGGCGATGTTCCACAAATGATCCAGGCACACGATACCGCGCTGCTCCGCTTCCGGTGCAAGCCGACAGAATCAGTCCCACTGAAAACGAGACAGATCATCAGCAACTGAGTTATCCACACCCGGAACATGAACAGCCGAAATAAAACAATTAAGACTTAAACAGTCCAGAACAGGGGCGGACTGACAACTCAAGGGGCCCCCGGGCAATAGGGGATCATGGGGCCCCTGTGTCCTTGCCAAAACTCAAAAGCCTATGAAAAAGGTACCAGGGGCATCTCATGGGGCCCCCTACTGACCCCAGGCCCTCGGGCAGTGGCCGAGTTTCCAAATGGTCAGTCCGCCCCTGGTCCAGAACCAACCGCTGCAGCATCCGAACCACCAGCCTAGACGATGCCGAAACACTGTTAATGGCATGGACCACACTCAAATTATCACAACGAAAACTAATCCGTTTATTCCGGAAGACGGCACCCCACAAAGAAACGGCTAAAACGATTGGGAAAAGCTCCAATAAAGTCAGATTGCACAACAAACCCGCCTCCCGCCATTGCAACGGCCACGAACCTGCACACCACTGACCCTGAAAATAGGCCCCAAAACTGGCAGAGCCCGCCGCATCCGTAAATAGTTCCAGATCAAAGTTGGACACGACCCCATCCAGCCAAAGTGATCTTCCATTGTAGGAATCGAGAAACGTCCTCCACACCCCCAAGTCGTCCCGTAGCTCGCTACGCAGCCGAACCCTGTGATGCGGGGCCGCCACACCAGCCGTCAAGCGCCTTGAACATATACGCCCCATGGGCATGATGCGGCAAGCAAAATTCAACTTACCTAATGACTGTAATTCCCGAAGTCGAATCTTTTTGCACTGACCCACCGCAATCACCAACCCCCGGAGCGCCTCCAATTTATCCAGAGGCAAATGTCATTCCATGGCCTCCGTATCGATAATAATGCCCAAAAAACACAATTCCGTGTTTGGACCCACTGTCTTATCCGGAGCCAAAGGAACGCCAAAATGCTCAAACACATGCTCCACTCTGCTTAGTAGCGACGCACAGATGGAACTTCCCGGGGGGCCAATGCACAAAAAATCATCCAAATAATGGATGACAGATGCGAGCCCAGAAACATCCCTAACCGCCCATTCAAGAAAAGAACTAAAGGTCTCAAATAGGGAACAAGAAATGGTGCAGCCCATAGGCAAGCAACGATCAACAATTATGCGCCCGTCCCATTTACAACCCAGCAATCGGAGACAACTAGTATGAACCGGCAAAAGGCGAAACGCCGCCTCAATATCAGTTTTTGCTAACAAGGAACGGATAACCTCCAGATGCAGCCGCGCCGATCTCAAATTATCCGCCGCTGGAGGGACCACTGCCAATGCACAGGGGATCAAAAAACCCTCCGAAAAACCCTGCCTCAACAGGTTAGCCGCCACCTGATCAGGGTACCACTTTAAAAACGGCAACATCCTTCCTACTCTCACTGGCGACATCCCTTTTTCCAGCGTCACCACCTCTCCCCCGGCCTTGCTTAAAACACCGGGACAATGGATGGGCCCCCCGCAACCCGAGCACTCATGACGGATTCGGCAGCCAGATCCAAACTTGCACGATCCCTCATTAAATTGCCAGCAGTAACCTTTTCTAAGCGCGGCTGGCTGTGCAACCGGGGCTGCACCTCCGGCCCCCCCCTGAAAGGGATGAGCTGTGGTCCGCACGGGAGTCATAAGCTTCATCCACAGCCCGATATCCTTGTGGTCCCACCGCAAAGATGGCCTAACCGCCATACGCTGACGAAACTGCTCGTCATAACGTAACCACGCGATGCCCCCATAAACCCTCTGAGCTTCCGCATCGGCATCCAAGTAACAAAAAAGGGGGGAACAATGCTCCGGCGTCCTCTCTCCAATAACGCTCGCCAGAATGGCAAACGCCTGAAGCCAATTAAAGAAGGTGCGGGGAATCAAACGATATTGCCGTTTTTCTTCCTCCTCCCTCTTACTCTCATCTGGCCGAACTTTGTGTAAGTTGAATTTCTCCAACGGCAACAAAGAAAATATCTCCACATATTCGCCCCTCCAAATGCGCTCCTTCACCTCTGGCTTCAGATAAGCCCCCAAGGGCCCCTCAAAGCACACAAACTTCGCATTTTGCTGCGTCCGCCAAATGCACACCATCAAAGCCCGGCACCCCTTTATCTCCACCATCAACCCCAGGATGATCCACAGCCGCATCCCCCCCCGGAGCCTCAGAGGCAGCGCTAAAAGAACCAACCACCGCCAACTGCAACCATGCTTCACTGTCTTCACAGTGTACTGTGGCTTGAATTCAGTGTTTGGGGGTCGTCTGACAAAACTGTCTCCGGCCACTAACAGTCGACTGTGGAATATAGCCATTTAGCCACTGTGCTGCCCATATAACATAAAGGGTTGTTTTAAAACTGGAGAGTGCACAATCTGGTGCAGCTGTGCATGACAGCCAATCAGCTTCTAACTTCAGCTTATTCAATTAAAGCGGATCTTCATTCTCCACTCCCCCCTATTTTTTTTAACCCCTGCTTACCAGGGGTTCACTTCTGCACCCAGCAAAGCCAACATTTTCCTTCTGAGATATTCTTTTGTTTTGTGACTGCTTGGTCCTACACTGCCATGTTTTTCTGTGATATCATCAGTAGGCTCCAGCTTTTCAGCTAGGCCTGCCCTCTTCCTGTACCGAATAGAGATAAAATGCCTCCTGGGATTTGTGATGTGCATATCCCAGGAGACAAAGGGAGCACTGTGCACGTCATTTGCTTAGGCATAAAAAAAGGTAGACAAAAATATTAAATAAAAACACAGCTCTATTTCAGGAAAGAAGGAGAGGAAGAGAATTGAAGACTGGCTGAAGGGTGAAGATCAGCTTTAGACTTTGACAAAAAAACCTGGAAGCTGGTTGGTTTCTATTCATAGCTGCACCAGATTTTGCACTCTCCTGTTCTAGCAAATCAACCTCATAGTTCTTAAATAAATAGATACAAGAAATTACCAAGGATTAACATAACTGTGCCATCTCTGAGCCAGCAACTCAGTCTAGGAAGTAGATGCCGACCCTGGATGATTCCTGAACAAAGATGGCACTGTCTTTCTGCAGCAAAAAGTGGACAAAGACATTGACAGGTGGAGTACTATAATCTATGAGAGATAATAAAAATCTGTAAGTGTGTCACTTATGCATTTAGCATGAAAAATATACAGTAGTTGGACAAAAATATGGAGACACTATATGATTTGCACATGTGAAAGTGGCAACATTTTTCGCGTTGAAAGCAAAAGCGATGTAACATTCTTTTGCTTCTGCTGTGTGATGAGCCACCTAGCTAACAGGTGAGAAGCCGCGTTTTTGTCATTCACTGCATACGCTACTAGTAATATGGAGTCATGTCAGAGTTTACTGAGTTTCAAAGAGGGCAAGTTGTTGCCGCTTAGCTGGTGCCTCTGTGACTGAAGTTACCAATTTATTTGCCGTGTCACGAAGAACAGTGTCAAAGGCTATAACGGCATATACAGTTTCCGGGAAACTGTCATCTGAAAAGCATAAGCTCGGTCGACATGGTCAACTGACCGAAAGGGACAAAAGGATGTTGCGCAGGATTGTGACCCAGAATAAGAAAACAACTGCTGCAAAAGTGACTTTACTCCATAAGCAAAGAATTCATGGGCAAGCTGCTATTGCCAAACCCCTAGTGACCGATATTAATGCTCAGAAGAGGAGAGAGTGGTGCAACACTCATAAATCGTGGACTATCGATCAATGGAAGACTGTAATATGGTACGATGAATTGAGCTTCACAGTGTTCCCAACCACCAGACACGTTTACGTGTGGCGAACACCATCCCAAGCTTCTGACCAGGACTGTCTTGTGCCAACAGTAAAGCATGGTGGCGGTGCAATCATGGTTTTGGCAGCCATATCTTGGTATTCTGCAGGCCCCATCATCACCTTGAAATGTAGAGCCACTGCCAGCAACTAGGTAAAAATTTTGGATGACCATGTGTACCCCATGTTGCAGACATCATTTCATGAAGACAGCGCCATTTACCAAGATGGTAATGCTCCGATCCACACTGCTGTGAAAGAAGTCTTGCACCTTCCCTGGGTGCCTGCAGTCGCTGGACCTCAATATCATAGAGCCTCTATGGTCAATTTTGGAAAACAAGGTTTGGCCTCGTTTTTTGCATCTGGCATCTTTATGAGAGCTGGGATGATTTTTGCATGAAGAGTGGTATCCGAGTGGTATTCCATTATCCACCATCCAAGACTTATATTTGTTATTTCCCAGGTGAATTCAGGCCGTCTTGGAGGCCAAAGGTGGTCCAACACCATTTTAGGTAACAATTGTGTTCTTTTACCTGGTGTTTCCATAATTTTCAACCCCTTTTGTCCAACCCCTTTATACAAAAACTAGGTCCAGCCTGGATTCTGGGGGTACAGTCTTGCATACAGTACTTGTATGAGCAGAGTTGGTGTACATGCAGACACTGGTATACATTTTGACACATTTAGAGCAGCACCATTGCATGTGCACAATAGTAGTAAACAGGGATCTGCCATGTGGAGGGCTACTGGAAAAATACTGTCAAAATGAGTCCTAATTTTTAGTCTAAAGTGTCTGCCTGCCACATCTAAGCAATGAATAACCTGGTAATTTCCACATTATGCCATGTCTTGTAATTACAGAAATAAATAGCACATTGGTGTTCCCAGCTTATAAAATTAGACTTACTAAAAAGCCCTTCCTTATAGAAAATGCTTAAAAAAAAATCACTTTTGGGAAGTGATAAAAGTATCATCAAGTCTAAAAGAGTATCATTAGATGTGATGCAGGAAGGGTGGACTGAGTGCTTTAAATAAGTGGGACATTTTTGGTTGTGCTTACGCTGGGCACCCTGGAGCCAGGAAATCTGGAGTGGCACGACTTTAGGTTTACCTTATTCCAAACAAAAACAATATATGGTGACCTAAAAACAACAGTGTACAGTAGACGAGCAAATGTTTTCTGGTCTACATTGCTGATTAGTATGTAATGGCGTATATGCCAGATGCTGATTTATGTGTAATGATATTTACATGTCTTTTTTGTGGCTTGTGGTGGATAACCATTAACTGTTTAACCCTTCTACCTCCTAGCATGTTGTTTCAGTACATTGGCATGCAACTGTGATTAAATGCACGTGTTTTATGGCTAAATCAGGAGCAGGAAGAAGAGCTGCCTCTGAAGCATTTACCAGACGTTGTATGGAA